ACCAAGAAAAATAAAAAGGCAAAAAATAATAATAATAATAATAATAATAATAAATGGCAAACCCAAGCGACGAATTCCGGCTGGTCTCCTCCAACATCAGCCATGAGGGCCGCATGCCACGTCAGTACCTGGGCGAAGGCCAAGGCGCCAAGTGCAACATCTCGCCGCCGGTCGAGTGGCACAACCTTCCGGCAGAGGCCAAGAGCCTTGCCCTCGTCGTGCAAGACGTGGACGCTCCGGACCCAGCGGGCCCGCTCGTGCCCTTCGTTATATGGGTGGTGGTGGATATTCCGGCGGCCGTGAAGGGTCTGCCGGAGGGATTTTCCGGCAGGGAGGAGGAAGTTGGGGGTGAGTACGCGGGGATTAAAGAAGGGTACAATGACTTGAAGAAGCACGGTTGGCAGGCGCCAAAGATTCCGGGGCCCGGCCACCGGATAGAGTTTAGGTTGTATGCTTTGGATGTTGATCGTCTGGATCTCGGCCACAAGGTGTGTGTGTGTGTGTGTGTGTGTGTGTGTGTGTGTGTGTGTTTGTGTAATGTCACTGCGTACTAGCTAATTTGTTTTTGTTTGGCACTTTGGCACAGGTGACTAAAGACAAACTTTTGGAAGCTATTGAAGGACACGTGGTTGGGGAAGCTATGCTCATCGCCAAATCTTGAAATAGTCGCTACAGTATCAAATCAAGCATGTGTGTGTACACGTTTTTTGTGTCCTTCATTTTCGTTTTCCTTTGTTTTCCTTTATTTAGTGATCGTGTTGATGTTGTTGCGAGTCCCATGAATGTGTGTAATTGCAATAATTAATAAGAATGTTCTCATCTTTAGATAAGACTTCGGACAAATTAGCACGCGTATTCACACCAATATAGGTTCGCTCAAGTGGTAAGCAGCATGACCTCCTTCAAGTTCGAGTCATGCAGAAAACCTTTGGTGGGATACTCACCCACCACAACAAGGTGTGCGACCCGATTAGTTGAGGATAGTTTCAGATACCGCGACTGGCTTAAAAAAAAAAGCACGTATATTCACATATCCCTTTTAGAATTTTCGGTTTTTGTGTATAACATACGTTTCACTCGATGTTTCTATCTTGTTCAAGCCCAAATAGTCAGATTAATTATGTGTTGGTCATTGAGGTGTAAAGGTGTTAAGAATCAGCTCCTTTTTATCAGATAAATGGGCTCCAGCTTGAGAGCTCGACTTGTAATATTGACTGGCGACATTAACAAGCGGCAATTGATCTAGTTTCTTTTTATCAGATGAATAAACTAGAGCTCTTAGTTTCTTTTTATCAGATGAATAAACTAGAGCTCTAGAGCTCGACTCAGTAATATCGATCAAGATCAATATCAATGAGAGCGACAATTGATTTAAATATATTTCCGAAATATTAAAAATTGTCTAACAGTTGATCTAAATATATTTCCTAAATATTAACCATAATTGTTTAACGACTATATAATATATGTGCCATGCTAAACAACGTATAGTTTATGTAAAAATTTCAAATAGGAGTGGAGATACATATTTTGTTTAAAATTATGATGGATTTCAAATAAAAGTAGAAATGTATATTTTGATTTAAAATTGATGTGTATCAATTTGTAGGTCATATGCCTCTTGTGTTGACAAACACATTCAGAAAACGACCGCCAATTATATAATATTGCTAAATTCGAAAGAACAAAACAGTCACTACTTACACATAATTATGTCTAAATGAATCTAATCTTGGAAAATTCTAAGATCCCATTACCAATGGTACCGTCAGTGTTTTTCACCATATGATATACATATAGATTATCTTGTGTGGATAATCTACGGTAACCAACACTGACGGAACTATTCTGTCAATGGGACTATAGTTGTTCCCCTAATCTTTATAAGGAATTAATAAATAAATGTAAGTAATAAAATAGTAAATAACTCACATCATGACATAATTATTATATAATATTTGATTTGTCTTTTCCAAATAATCCAATTTCCTTTTCCCGGGCAAGAAGACTAGGAATTGTCAGCCCGAAACTTTGGCCCATTTATTTCAAATTTAAGAAATTGAGGTCCATTTGCTGGCCCACAATCATGCTTGGGCCTGTTTACATGTGATTCGGCTCAAATCGCGTGAACCGCAAAATGTTGGGAGTAATTTTCACTTTTCACTGATGCTACGTCAACATTCGGACCCAAAAAAATCAACCATCAACCGACCCTGATGATTGATGAAGCTATAGGGCCTAAAATGCATAAACCCTCGGGCTCGAGATATCTGAACCTCACAAATTGTCTCTTGCAAATCATAATCACCCAGCGAAGAGGAACAGTTTTTGATCTTGCAATCTACATCGGGTTTTGACCGATGAAGGGGGTGCATCCCATCTCTGCAAACGGGCTGCAAAATGGAGGAGTCGAGCCGGAAGCGAAGCCCGAAGTTGTGCCTGATTGTTTGAACATTAAGGTCGCGCACGGGCCCGACGAGCATGATGTTGCCTTGCCTTCTAATTCAACCTTCGGTATGTTCGATTTTGATTTCATTTTTTGGTGCGAATTAATGGATTTACACAGCTTGGTTTTTGTACTTTTGAGTTGCGATTGAGCTGTTTTTACCTTTCTGATAAGTGATTGTTCTGATTATTCGGTTGCGTAGAAAAATGCGAACATATTTTGTTAGCAATTTACTTGATTTTGTGTTTTCCGAGGCGGGTTTTGCTTCAGAATGGGCTGTATGATTTATTTAGGTTTCAACAAAGCTGAAAATTTGAGGTTCGAGGTAGTTTAGTGTAAATTCGGCTGTTTTGTGGGTTGAATGTTTGTTTATACGTGTTTTGATGCAGGTGATTTAAAATCAATTATAGTTGGAAAAATCGGCCTGAACCCGGAGACACATAAACTCCTGTTCAGGGGTAAAGAGAAAGAAGACGATGAAAGTCTACAAACGGCCGGTGTGAAGGATAATGCCAAGGTTTTACTTGTGGAGGAAGTTTCTTCTGGTCAGAAAATCCCTGAGGAGGTTAAGGAAACAAATGTGGTCTCACGAGGAGGTGAAGCTGTTGCTAAAGTGAGGGAGGAAGTCGACAAGCTAGCCGGTCAGGTTGAGATTTTTTCTTTTATAATCCTAAGTTTTAGTTTTTTCTTTCTTTTTTTTTTTTTTATTTGATGTGGTTTTTTGTGTTGCTGATAGGTATCTGCATTGCAAGCTGTTGTGGAAAGTGGTGCCAAGGTTGATGATAAAAATGTTATTTATGTGACTGAGATGCTTATGAGACAGCTGCTCAAACTGGATGGTATCGAAGCCGAAGGAGATGGGAAAGTGCAGAGGAAGACAGAGGTTAGTGTTTGGTTTTCCTAATTCTCTACCTTTGCTCTTCGGATTGAGTTCATTGCAAGTAAACAGAAATCTGCGCCTATTTTTCGATGATTGGATTGAATGATTTGGGTGCCCGTGGAGTGTTTTTTTTTTAAGTCTAACTTCTCTTGAGTCCTTTTAAATAACACAAAAGGGAAGAAATCAGATTTATGCGTGCAAGTTTGTCGCATGCCCTGAAATTCTTAAGGCGTGATTGGATATGAATCCCAACCGGTTTTGGTTGGATTTTGTTGGTTAAAGTGAGTTATTTTGAATAAAGTTGATGAAATGGATGATTTTGATTTTGTATTAAAATAATATTTAAAATATAATGATTAAAGTTGGTTTATATAAAAGTAGGAGAGGGGTGATTCAAAGTGATTACTGATTAGTAGTTTTTTTTAAAAAAAAAATTACATGAGTGCGGATGAATAGTAAAATAAAGTTAATGTGATGTGAGAGGATGATTGTTTGGTATTATTTAATTATATTGATATTGATAAAAAGTAGGAGAGTTGGTTTTGATTGGTATAAAATATATCAATTGGTCAAAACCGATTAAAATTGATTGCGACTCATATCCAATGGGGCTTTTAATAACTTTGCATTATGATCAGCCCAATTCTATATGCGTAGATTTAGTCGAATATCCATATATTTTGTTGTAATTTCTGAAAACTCTGGTTATGCTATTCAGGTCCGTCGGGTCCAGAGCCTGGTGGAGACAATGGACACCATAAAATCAAGAAATTCAAATCCATTTGACAATGGTAACCAAATACCCTCTGTAACTTCACAGTGGGAGAAA